TAAGTGATTCATGTCATTCTGAACATAAACCGACCAAGTGTTTCCTTGAATACCAAGACTCGTATTTTGTCCACTATTTGGGTAATAAGAAACCAGATCATTCATCTTAGTTGAAAACAAAACTTCACACCAAAATTGCCTTCCACAACTAAACTTATTCTTGTCCCCCCCCCCTCCCCCCTCCCATTCTCTCTCAAAATTTCTCATTGTCTGATTCTGACTCCGTTAATATTCCTCCCTATCTTTTAGAGAAATCCTACTGAAACTTCCTGCTAAATCCTTAATTCGATTCATATTTGTCTGGAAATCATGGCTTTCCCTCATCACAAGTTCTCCTTTATCTCCGCTAACCTCGCCCAAGCCCCACATTCCAACACTCTTCTAGGAAGGCGTTACGTCGTTACTTGTAATAAAGAGAACTATTTGTTGTTTCAAGACTCTAAAAATCAACCCTTTTTCATACATTAGAATTGAATTTCCCTTTCAAATGCCAACGAGGGTATTTAACAATTTTGGCTTTAAGCTACCAAAGTACTTGACCTTCCCTAGCTCCATCACTTCATATGCATAATCTAAGAACGGACATATGAGGCGACTAAGGCTTAATCAAAAGTGAAGGTAAGGTTATAAACTTCTAAATAGAAGGGTTCACGGAACAAGACTCCGCAATTGACCACACAAATTGTCAAACAAACACACTATGCCTTAATAATAATAGTATTTTAATAGCCTTTTTAAGATGCAAATTAATATTGTTGGAATAATGATCCGAAGTGTGAGAAGGAATCCTAAATTGTTTAGGATTTGTTGTTTAGTATTTCTTTAATTCATGTCTAGTTGAGATTCGTTTATTCTAGTTCATATGGGAATAAGTTTTCTAGTCTTAGTTTGATTTGATTCCTAACTATTATGAATAGGGATATTACTAGTTATTTTCTATAGAAAGAAATACTGAGAAAGAGAAAGAAATATAGAGGAACAGAAAAAACATGTAGTAAGATTCAAGATCTTTTGAGATTATGAATAAAATATTTTCTTCAAAATAGTATTAGAGCTTCTACAATCCTAATAATTATTTTTGAAGAGAATCCATTATCGGTGGACGACTATGACTCATAAATGTCGTCCGCTTGCCAATGTTTATGTTGACAAAGACTAGACTAATGATATATGCATGCTCGGGGAAGGAGTTAGAAAAAGATTGCAAGTTTAAAGAGGTACAACCAAACATGACATAAGAGAAGAAGCTCTTCTCTAATTAAAAGTTGGAGGAAGGTAAAAAATAATTGTTGGTGCGAAGTGTATCAACACTGGAAGTTGAAGAGAAGTGTCTCAGCACAATCAAGAAAAAAATGTGAGTTTGGAGAAAAAATGTTCTAACACTTGGAAGTTGGAGAGAAAGTGTTCCAACTTAACTAAGAAAAAAAATTAATGGTAATTGAAGAGAAGTATTTCAATAATTGAAGGTTCAAGAGAAGTGTTTCAATAATTGAAGATTGAAGAGAAGACAATTTTTCCACTTCAACAACGGCAACAAGAATAAAAATGAAGATTCGAGAGAAGTGCTCCAATACTACTACTTGTTGGGTTTTAGCAAGTGTGAATGAGAAAAGAAAAGAGAGAATATGAAAAGTAAGGGAACTACTTTGGCTTTGGATTTGGATTTGGATTTGGCAAATGATGTGATTGATTGATAAATTTTTTGGAC